TGGTTCTGGTACCAGTGTTTGTGTCTGGTTCTGGTACCAGTGTTTGTGTCTGGTTCTGGTACCAGTGTTTGGTTCTGGTTCTGGTACCTTTGGGATGGTGATCGGGGGTCTCAGAACCTCTTTGATCCTCTTCTGTTTGCAGATGACAACYTAGAAGAACCCGACGAGGAGCAGAACCAGGACCACCACCACCACCACCACTGTTATGGCTGTTGTTCGGGTCGGTCCGCCTGAGGAACAGAACCGGGTTACAGACATCTGGACCTCAGAACCGGCACACAGAGAACTGGACCACATGCAGAGCCAGTGAGGACCCAGATGTTGGTCCACAGCTTGGACAGGAAGTCTTACTGGACCCAGGGACGGTCTGACACTGGACACAGCTGGAGGGTCCGATGACYTCATCATGCAGCGTGAACTGGACCTTGACACAGTACCGCCGACCCGCTTCCAGGTTCTGGATCATGGTGGAGGAGTGTGAGTTCTTGTGTTCCTGTCAGAAGGAGAGGCTTAGAKCAACAGACCCAGAACCACAGCTGCACAGGTTCTGGCCCGTCAGGACCTGGACCTCAGACCAGTTCTTGTTGTGACCCATGACGTCAACAGAAGAACAGGAACCAGATCCTTCCTGAGGTTCTGGGTCAGGTTCTGTTCCTGTAGTCCACGGGTCACAGACGGTTCTGAGAGTCCAAACTGCTGGTCTCACCTGCAGCTCCTGTCCCTCCGGTCCAAAGTAAACCCGGTACTCAGCGTGGGCCGCGTGGTCCAGGAACAGGCTGTGGTTCCTGTTCAGGTGGACCGTCACAGAACCGGGCCCTGCAGTCAGCTGGACCCGAGGAGAACACGGCCCACCTGCAGAGAACCGGTCCACAGCTCAGTCATTTCTAACAGGACGGTTCTGGTCCTGGTTCTGGAACACGTACCTGAACTGCTGCAGGCGTGGACCGGTTCTGACTGCGACCCGGCTCGCTCAGCTCGAACACGCAGCTGAACGCAGTCCTCTCCGGGCCGAGACACGGACCGGACCGAACCGGGACTACAGGAGGTGAGYGCTGTGCTGAGACAGTCTGGATCCACGTCCCACTTCTCTGAGCCCGGCCTGTGGACCAGAACCAAAGACAGGAGGTTCAGACCGGTCCTGAAACCCACAGAAACCAGGACCGGCTCAGAACCCACCTCAGATACTCCACTGTGTAGGTGATGCTGGACTCCTCTGAGCCCCGGGTCCAGGTCAGCTGGGACCCGTCCAGGTGCACCTGGGTCGGTGGGACCAGAACCACCTGACCGTGAACTGTGACACATTTAGAAACACGTCACCCTGAAGGTCAGACTGTGCAGTGCTCAGATGTTTGTTTACCTCCTTTTAGATCGTAAACAACGTTTCATCTTCAAACGTAAACAAATAACTCTGATTAAATGTTTTTAATCTGTCTCATCTGTTCCGGGTTGGTCAGAACCAGAACCTTTTCGGGACAAACAGAAAATGAAACTTTAAAATAATCATGTTTACCTCGAACCAAGACCAGAACCACCGTGAAGAGGTTCCGAAAACAGCCGCGAGACTCTGAAGACATCCGTGTCCTCCTGTCCATCTCACCTGCTGGACCTTCCTGTCCTCTGGACCTTCCTGTCCTCTGGACCTTCCTGTCCTCTGGACCTTCCTGTCCTCTGACCCATGAGGACATAAAGGGAAGTTACAAAGTGTCTTAAAGAGATAAACCTCTTCAAATCCGTCTAAAACATCACAAATAATCCTGTTAAATAAAAACTGAACAAATGTTTTAACAGAAAAGTAAATAAACCAATATTTGTTTTACTTGTTGAAGTTCTCCGGAGTAAATCCAGCTTCAGTAGAAAATGTAACCGCGCGTCTACATCCGGTATTACGGTTTGACTCTACGGAAGCCGTGACAGGAAGGAAAAAACAGTATTTTCAAAATAAAAGTTGACAGCTTTACTCCTTTTGTAATAAAGTGAAAACTACTTTATTATAGCTCCTAAAATGTGACATTAACTTTTAAACACATTGTGTGCGACTCAGATTAAATT